TACCGGCAAACTGGATCTTCGAGGACTGCTTGGTCAGTCCAAGACATGTAGTACAAAAAGGTTGGGAGGTTGAAACCCTTGCTTGTCATAAAGTCGAGGATTTCGCGGCATGATTCCGCAATTAACGAAGGGTCTCGAGATTTTAGAAATTCACGAGACGACCTTGTCTGTCGTGTGCAGGGAATGTCGGGTGTGCTTTCAGTGGTGTATTCTTGCTCAATTTCGTCCTCATATAGCTCGTTGTCGCCGGTATCCAGGTCATTTTCATCAGGAATAGGAACAGACATAGTGGGTATAAAAAACGAAATGTATTTTGCGTTGGAATGGGCGAGTGATAGACGTATGCAAGGGCGAGTAATAGCTTTCCGGGATAGGCGCTTCGATCACGTGCAGATGAGGCCCCCCCGGATGATCCAAGTGGACCAGACATTCTAGCGAGAGACTGCACATCACCATTGATGTCCGACGCAGTCTCCGACCGGCGAAGTCCGGGCGCGCTAGAATGGCTGGGGACGAGACTACCAAGGGGGTTGGCGTCGGCGCCGCGCCTTGCACCGCTCTGGTGAACACTTACTTTTCTCGTACGTTGTCCTCGAGGTCGTAAGGCCAAATTAGCCTTCGCACGCATTGGCTAAAGGATTGAATGTTGAACATCGAGATATCAATAGGAACTACTTACCAATATAACCACGATGATCTAGGAAGTAGCCAAGCTTCTACGGTCTCCGGGCGTTTGCCGCCGCACCTAAGAAAGCCTGCCACTCCCGTCAAGCTGGCCCCGTGAGGCGTAGCGCGGTCGTATAGCATCTGTCCTCGGCGGTCGTCACGGCGCCAGAGCTGTCCATATCAGCCTGACCTCCGTCCTAGGTCGGTCGCGGGCCCTCGCACGACCCTGACTCAGCTTCCGAGACACCGACCGCCCATCCCCGCCGCACATTTTCTGCATCTTTCATTCAAACTACCTCCTTGTATCTCGCCCAAGATGATGTGGGATTTTGGAGACCACACCTATACTCCCGGGCAGCCCGAGCAGCGGCCGCGCTCGGTAGAGTACTCGCCGCAGTGAGCTCAGGATCAACTTTAACCCTTGATCAAGCTGCCATAACTTGATTTCCAGACAAAGTCCTTACCCTCTTGCGTACGTATTTACGCTCGTTCTCATTCCCTCGCCCTTCGTTCGGACCTAAGCTAAATTCCGTGCTCATACGATGCAAGTTACAGTGATGCGTCCCCATTCGTGCCACTGGTTCAACAGACACCGTCCTACACCTCGTCGCATGTATCCAGCAGCCCGAGCCTGCATGGAATGCCACAAGCTGCTCCGAGCTCGTTCTCTCCTGGAGGCGTGCCGCGGTCTCTGATGGAGATCCGCGTGGAGTACTCTCCTCGCAGCGGGTACTCTGGACATGTACACCGCACGCACCATCATTCACACTACCCAACTCGGCCGCAGGTGCAAGGTAAGTTACCAGCCACCCGCGTGCAGAGCTTTGGCTGATGATTTCATTCAGTGGTTCAGCAGCCTCAAGCGCATAGACGCGAGCACGCGAGTCATCCTCAACACCGTGGTCAGTGCTGAGAAACCATTCCAGGAATGCTCAGTTTTACTAAATATAAGAGTCCGCAGCCTCTCTGCAAAATCAGCACTGTAAGTCCCACTACTCAGCTCTGCGGCCACACGGATCTTACCAGCGCTGGGCAGACGCGCACATCGAGACGCCCTCGCTACACTTCGAGTATTCCAAGTGCACGGGCCGCAAGAAAGCGCTCTGCGTACGCATCCATGCTCTCCGTTCTTGCTCGGTGCTGACACCATTTGTAGATCGGCGTCAACTACATCGGCATGAAAGAGCAGCTCAGCGGGTGCATCAATGACGCAAAGAATGTCCGGAGCTTCCTCATCCGTACGCCCCTGCGCATGGACGCTGCACTGGCACGGCTGATGCTTGCGATGTTACAGGCCATTGCGGGTACAAGGCCGAAGACATTGTTCTCCTCACCGACGACGCCACGAACCCGCGCCAACTTCCAACGCGTCAGAACATGATCGACGGGATGAAGTGGCTCGTGCGGAGTGCGCACAAGCACGATTCGCTCTTCTTCCATTGTGTGTTTCGCCCGCTTCCTTTTGATATCCTTTGAGTGCGGGCTGAGCGCTTGTGACCTTGGCAGACTCGGGACACGGCTCGCAGGTCAAGGACCGCGATGGAGATGAACTTGATGGGTACGACGAAGGTATGTGCAACCCTTGCTTTCGTGGTTCTACGGAGACTGATGATGAGCTGTTATGCGTAGTCATTCTGCCTGTTGATTTCCGCAAGTCTGGGATCATCGTCGATGATGTATGTCATTCTCCATTGTGCATGTTAATTGAATGCTTACACATCCTAGCTCATGCATGACATTATGGTGAGCATCCTGCTAGACGGACTGGATCTCCACACTGACAGTGCACAGGTCAAGCCGCTACCTACTGGCTGCCGCCTGACGGTAAGCGTCCCTGCGATGTATTCCTGCGTATTTCCTGACAGACCTCGTGCCTAGGCCCTCTTTGACGTGTGTCTCCCCCTCTCCCACACCATGCTTTCTGACCACTGACCCGTAGTCTTGCCACTCTGGTACCGCACTCGGTAAGCTCTTCTTCCCTATCGTGTCGCAGCTCATGTTCACCGCGCAACGACAGACCTGCCATTCATGGTACGTCTCTGCGCCGCCGTCCCATTCCCTGGCTGACCGATATCGCGTACAGTACCACAGTAATGGCCACCTGAAGAGTCAGCGCGGCATCACGCCAGCGCACCTCGCCGCGAAGGCATCTAGTGCTGACGTCGTACGTCCCACTTCTGTCTTCTTTCTTCCGCGCTGACTGTCATCTGTTGTCTCATGTGCGATACTGTCGATGTTTGGACACGCAGATCTCCTTCAGCGGCTGCACAGACTCGCAGTCGAGTGCCGATACCTGGGAGGGCGGCGCTGCTGCAGGCGCAATGTCCTACGTACGTCCATTCCCCATTCTCCCGTTCCTTCTTCCAACCCCCTGCCACACTACGACTACGCCCTTGCTGACATGACTCCGCGCAACATACACAGGCCTTCATGAAGTCATTCCGCGAGAACCCGAAGCAGACGTACCGGGAGCTCCTCATCTCGGTCCGCGCGATCCTCAAAAACAAGTACAACCAGACGCCACAGCTGTCGAGCTCGCACGAGATCGTGAGTTACTTCTCTATATGCTACAATCCGAGGGCTAGAACGGCACTGATCGTATACACAGAACACGAACTTGCAATTTATTTTATAAGAGGCAGGTGCCTTGGGATTACCGTTATGACTCGTCTGTTCAAAGGGCGCATTTACTGCTTTGTGTTATTTTCGTTGTGTAGCAAGCCTCACGTCTGTATCTTCCTGTGATCGAGACGCATATAATATACTGTGTCTGTAGTTCGTGAGACACGATGACCGAGTTTTGAGCATATATGTACAACACAACAATAATGTTTCCAGAAGCAGCGCACAAAGATCAAAAAATCTCTCCTGCTCAATATTAATGGTCATTCCTACCGTTCTCTATCCACCACTCATGAATGGACGCAGCAAGTAGGTGAATAAACAGAAGCGCGACCATACCGTTCATGCGCTGTCCCCGAACGGTGCGCAGAGGAATGCCGTCAGTGGCGTGAAGCGTATTAAAACCTTGGGTGTCTTGGACGCGCTTGATGAGGACGACTTCTTGCTCGGTCAGGATGTAACCGTACCTCGCGCCGAAATAAGGAACCTCGACCTTCCCACCGCTACGCTCAGCTTCTTTTTCCTTAGGGTCTCTATGCCCAACATCAACCATGTAGTGTCTGATCTGCGCGACGACGTTCCGATACTCCTCCCAAAGAGACTTGTAGCCAACATCGCGCTCGTTCTGATAGTCCCACCACGAACCCTGGAACTTGTATGCGCATTTGATGTCTCCAGGGCAGCGGTTGACACAGGTGAGGTCGTCCTGCTTGTCCAGCTCCTTGGCGCAGCGATCGGACTCAAACTTCTTACCGGCGGCCTTGAGCTTCGTCGACGGACGACAGAAGCCGTTGGCCCCAACGTCAGTGCACACAGGCACATGTGTCTGCGGGAAGTGCCCTGCTCTAGCCATCTCTCGTAGAGCACGGTCGAGATCGAGCAAGATGCTGTTCTCGAGTCGGGCCGCCAAAGTGACTTCATGTCCGTATGGGAGACGGTACGCAGTCGGACGGTACTCGTTCAGCGGGTGAAGATCCTTGCGATCAGCAGGAGGGTTGAACGCTTGGCGCAAGGTCGGCAAGTACTTATCGAGCTCTTCTGTCGGGTCCCAGCGAACGATAGAGCGAATTTTCCAGGAGGGATAAGAGTCGTTCACGGTATTTCCATATCCATCCTTGCGTAGTTTCTATGAAGAAGTCATCGCTGGTGGTCAGCTATTGCGCGCCAAGCAGGCCGAAATGTCCTATAGTAGGCCGAAATTCAACTTACGTCCAGAGTGTAGCCATCGGTGCTGTCAGCAACCTACAATCCAACTGGACTGGGCTACGACAAGACTGAGGAGACAGACGAGAGGAAAGTGGGTGAGTAAAGACCAGCTCAAGTCTGGCTTGTTATTGAGCAGTACAGGCCCCTTATATACATGTCAGACTCAATACCTAGATTATACTACAAATATACGGAGGTGTTTAGAAAGTGAAAGAATACTATGGAATCCGGGAGAACCATCCGGAGTATGTAATATTCATGACATTACCCCCCCTTTTAGAATCGTGTCCTCACGATTATTTACCGGTAGAGCCAAAGCCTCCCATTCCACGTTGAGTTTCCGACAAGTTTGAAACCTCCTTGATACCGCATGACGCAATACGCTCCAGGATTACTTGAGCGATTCGATCACCGGTGTGTACTTGGAATGATTGATTGGTGGTGTTAATCATTACCACGCGTACTTCTCCGGTATAATCACGGTCGACAACTCCAGCGCCAATATCAATTCCTTTTACCGCTAATCCACTTCGCGGTGCAATCCGCGCGTAAGTCCCGTGAGGGGCACGCATTGCGATGCCGGTTCCGACAATCTTGTGACTTTGCGCCGG